TTATTCAGTACAAGGCATGGCAGGTATGGGTAGCTTCTTCTGTATTCATGCAGTCCATGGGTTGTACAGTCCAAGCTTATGAAGCAATTACATTATGAGATTTTTCAACTACAAGCAATCTTGTGGAACATCCCATCTCAGTGGTGAGCATTGTGAAGCCATGGAAGTTAATGCACTACTCAATAAAGCTGTACAGTGTAGATTTTTGACTGAGGAATACCTGGTCAGGCACCGATCGTCACAAAGTGGGATCCCTATAACAAAATAAATGAAGCAAGGGCCCCTGAAATGAAAAGAATGTATGAACATAAACTTACCCATTCAACGTCGTGCCGATATGTGAAGAATGGCCACAAGTGGAAGACAAAAACCTGGCAAAGAAGAAAGTGGGATATGGTGTAAGTAATGGGAAAGGAATGTATTAGTTGCAGTCCACATACTCTAATGTCCAATGAAGACAAGATGCGAGGGAAAAGGTGATGAGAAAAACCCTGAACAAATTCTGTTGGGAAGAAGACAAGAAGGAATAAGCCAATTGAATCAAATGTTGAACCCAACTGGTGAGGGTAGAAGGTGATGAATCATAAACAGAGGAAGACTGCCAAGGGATAAGGAGTCGGGAATGTGAACCATGGAAGAAAGCTGTGCAGGCAATATAGCAATGAAGGATAGGGACCAGATATAGAAGTCTATCTGGAAATATGCAAAAAGCAGGAGTTACCTCCACCAGCCACCAAGGTCTTTGGGAGGAAGGAATGATCCAGATAAAGGAGAATATAGATGTGGAGGTGAAACGTCAATGGCGATCAAATCAGACCTTTGACATCCACAGGCTAAGAAGAAAAATATTGTTCAAAGGAAAAGTGAAACATGGAGCACGTATAAATGGGCTCAAATGGAGGTAAAGTGAGGGAATGGAAGACCTCATTAATATTCCTGTCCGGAAGACTATGTTGTCTGAGAGGACAATGAATCCTGAAGGAACACATTAACATAGTAGGACAGGGAAAGCAAAAACACAACAGTATCAGGAAAAAATGAAAGATATGGGTTAAGGCAACCTGATAACCCGAGATCAACGAGACTGAAGACCCGCTGTCAAAAAGTCATGTGAGAAACTCAGCCACTGGAGCCACAGTAGGTTGGTCAGCAGGGAATCTCTAAGTGGTGGACCAACTGTGGAACACTTTCCATTTGCACTGATACACCTCCATTGAAGAAGGATGTATGGAATGAGCCAAAATTAAAGCTCTTCAACAGGAGAAACTTGATCTCCTTGCTAAGGACCAGATAAAAGACAGGCATGAAGATGAAGTATGTGAATGGCAGAATGTAGTACTGGTGACCAAGGTTGACAAAGAAGGGAGGAAGACATGGGAAAGGGTACTGGAAGGAAAAGTTGCAGTTGGTGTAATCGTGAAAACCACAGTTGAGCTGGCCAATAGGGAACAATCTGAAGGACTCAATACAGAGTGATATGGATGAGAGAGACAACCTGATGAAGTAATCGGATAGTAGGATAAACATAAAGAAATTTGTGGGACATAAAAACCACTCAGTTGGGAAGGGAAAGATGATTCACTACGAGATTGAAAGCACCAGGAATGTGGCATACAATTATATGAATGTGGTGCATGTGGGCTTAGTATAGGAAATCCAATGTATGAAAACAGAGAGATCTTGACTGAGTGCCTCCTTGGTGATTGATATGTGCTACCACCATAGAATTGTCAGAATGAGGAAGGAAGTGATTCAAAGTCTGACGGACATTATTGATTGACCCTTGCAGTCCAGCCCTGAAGGGATGTGTCCATAAACATATGTAAATCTGGACATATGGCCTTGTTCATCCACCAAAGCAGATCGTCCAACAGAGTATGAGAAAGGGTAACTGGAGCTGCCATGGGATCCCGAGCAAGGTTCCACTGATCGTGAAGAGCTCACCGAAGGGATCTCATATGGGCACAACTGAGAAGGACCAGTGACATCATTGAAGACCACATTCCCCAAAGCAAAAGAACCTCACAGGCAGAAAGTAACAGGCAGAACTAACAATTCCATGAAACAAAGTCATAGAGGAGAAGGTTGGGCCCAACTGAGATGAGTGTGGAAAAACACACCTAAATGGACAATATATTGGGTAGGATGGAGGAAAGACTTCTCTGATGTGATTAACCAGCCCACCCAAGCAGCCACATGAAGGAGTTGACAAGTATGGCTGGCCGACTCCAGTTCGGAATGAGCCAGAAGAAGCCATTCCTCAATATAATGATGGAATCACAGACCCAGAGCATTAAGATGGTGAGCTAAAGCTCTGACCAACCGACAGAAAATATAAGGGGCAGAAGCAAGCCTGAAGGGTGGGACACGAAAATTGTAAACCACCCTATGATGAACGAACCAAAGATACGGACTATGTTGAGACAGTGACGTGTAGATAAGCATTGGCAACATCCATCTTGTTCATACATAAGCCCAGAGAAAATGTCCACTGTAGGATCAGAAATGACTCCATGGTAAAATGGGGCAGTTGAACGAATTGAATGAAGCAGGACAAAACGACGACAGGCCTCCAGTCTTTGGTTTTCCTGAGAACAACAAAGAGACTGGAAGAAAAACCTGGTAAAGTATGTAGAACAGGTTTGATGGCCGGCTCAGATAGTAGGTCCTGAACCACCTCTGACAGATGCTGGTCAGTCATTGGATCCCAAGTTGGAGGGAAAGAAATGAGTATAGGAGACAAGGGAGGTGGGGAAAGAAATGGGATCACAAATCCTTCCAATGAAACTTGAGAAACCAAATAATCCTTGATAAAAGGAAACCACTGATGAAGAAAATCGGAAAGTTGAGCTTTCACCGGGTAGTCACCGATACTGTTTGCAACGTGACGTATGTCGGCGAAGAAAACGCCGAGACGAGGTACCCCGAGCAGGAGGAACACGTGAAGGTTGCGAAGGACAAGGAGAGGAACTGTAACAGGTGCGATATTGGGCTCAGACCAAGGCAAAGGGGCAACAAGTGGAAAGGGTAGAGTGTTGTTGTACTGATGCAACTCATGACTCCAAGGACTCAGGGATTGCGTCAAATATGTAATACCGCAAAAATGGGGCCCATACATAAATTCCAAAGATAAGATGCTGGTAAATGGATGCAAGTTAAGGTCACATCACGACCTAGAAGGCCCCAACAACAGAGAAACCATATTTGCAAAGCCAGAGCTGAAGGTGACAAATGAGCCAACATGGAGGAAAAAAGGGTGAGAATGTCTCCAGAAAATCCCTTAGGATTTTGGTGGAGAGCATCAGAGAGGAGATGGATGGTAGAGAGATATCGTAAAAGAGTTGTAAGGGTAAGATGAAGGCAGTAAAATTGGGCATGGGTCAGCCTCACAGGAGATTTGGTCTAGAAAAGGACAGTCTGCATGATGATATGCAAAAGCAAACTGATCCGAAGCACATGGGGGGCAAGGCATGCTAATCCTGTTACTTAATTGTGAGGTAAGTTGGTCAGCATGTACCCGAATATCTGTGGAGTGGGAGAAAAACTAATAGGGATATGAAGATTGGTCATGTAGTAAGAAAGGATGCAGTTCATAAGAAATAGAGGCAAGGGATAAAACATCACATACCTAAGAGACGAAATCCAAAAAGACCATAATAGGCCTAATTGACTCCTCAGGAAGGGCATGGGAAGGCACGGCAAAATCAGGAGGTGGAAATAGGTAATCCATTTCCTTGTCAGTCTAAACAGGCTCTGCATGTTCGGGAGGAAGTGGGGCAAGGTCCAGAGATAGAGGTTGACAAATGTAATGTTCAATCTCCCCACGAATAAAAGCTGATAAATCTCCAACCAGAGCACCCCTCACCTGAAGCCTGTGGTAATATGAACTGCGGAATTCATATCAAGAAGAGTCAACCAAAATCGAAATTATTAAGAATAATGCGACTGTAATAAACTGGGATTAATTAACCGAAAGTGAAGAAACAGTCTTAATAGACTTGGAAGTAATTTAAATGAAAACCACTTCACGAGTATACTACAGTTGAATGTGAAACTTGAAACAAACAAAGGAACAGGTCCAAGCACAAGCACTGCCAAACAAGAAGTAACAGTTCAGTACAAGCACACAGAGGGAGTCACATGCATCACATATGTCATGCTCCTATTAGTGGAGAAGTGTTGCATGATCATTTGCTTGAGAGATATGTTGGAATCAAATGATTCCAACATGGGGGAGCAGAAGGCTTGTGGCATACATAAAGAAAAAAGTTTGCAAATAGTTGGCAGCACTGGACAAGAATAGCTAATCTTATGGGCAAAGAGAAGTACTGTATCGGAATTTAAATTTTGCAAATTATAGCAAGCCTTATGTAATTTATCAATAATTTTAAAAGCACATCTGTTCTAGATAATACCAAGAAAAAGCATGAAGTTACCTCGAGTGCAAGTATTTAAAGAGAGTCACTGTGCAAGGAGGTTTTATCACCCTCGTACTAGTGGAGGACTTTTGTCACATAATGATGTATTAAGCACTAGTGCAGTTCACCTTAAATATAATTTTTAGGTGGGAGTTAGCTCAAGGCTAATAATATGCAAATCTCACAAGCAGATGAATGAGGGATAAAACTCTTCTGTGTGAGGTATCATCTTGGAAGTAGTGGATTAAGATCAGTAACAGACAATATATATGAAATGACCTTTGCAAAATACTTTAACAGAGGAAGAAACAGATTAACTTCAAAATGAAATAGTGATCAGAATGATTTCAGCACCACTGATTAGTTCTTATACTTCAGTAAATTTTTGATTTTTCCTGACCATTTTCAAATTAACTATCTAGAGTTTTCATTTGCAAATCAGTAAGAAATTCATTTACCATCACAATATTGAAACACTATTTGAATTTCTGCAAGAAAAATCAAGAAACAATAAGAAAAACAAGTGACATGGGTTTTCTGTTTAAGATGTATCAGATACACAGTTATTCTTAGCCCACTTACCAGCATATAATAATTTTCTCTTTACAGGATCACATTCCTGTAGTTGACAAATGACTTCTAACAGGCACTCCATTATCCATTCCGCTTGTTGGCTATTCAGTACAGATACTGCACCATTTGCTGCTTGTTCTTCAAAGAAAAACAAAGTTAGGTCCACTATTTGTAAAATAATATTTTCACAAATGAATACACAAATGCAATATACTAGCTCACATGGTTCCCACACCTTGGTTAAAATTAAAATTCCTAACTTTTCCCAGATCTTTCCTTGTCAATTTGATTTATGCTTGTAATATAATTCAAATATTACTTATAATAACATGTGAAATTGCAAAACATTACTCATATAATGTTTAATAAAGACAAAAAAGGCTGTATGTAAAGAGACACAGTTTGCTTTAACATCATTTTCTGAAGTTTCAATATGATCAGTCATGCTTTTCTTGACTTGTTAACACTTTATTAGAACAAAACAACAAAGGCGGTTTATCTATTTGTTTATGATAGTGCATACTGATCACACTTCTTTTACTTATCTTAATTTAAATCACAAAATCATTGTTACAGTCTAAAAAATACTACAGATTTTTACAATTATAATTATTATGTTTTGACTTTGTAACACACAGAAGGAACATTTGCTGTTCCAAAATGGAATATTTGTTAACAAGTACACTTCTCATATATCAGATATTTATTAAGTAATATTTTCTGATGTGTGTACATGAATAAATACTGGTATGTTCAAAACTTACAGCTACTAAATAAAACAGGGCAGTAAAATAAATTGTCCGATATCTATAAAACTGCACACATTGGAAATCATCCAGAGCACATTGGATTATTTTTGCACATGCAATAAAACTAGGCATATCAAATTCATCTATATCAAAAGTACTGAAATCTTTGAAGTAACTTGACCCCATATTCATTGATCAATCATGCTTACAAGAGTATTTTTTGGCTTACACAAGTTCTGTTTGTTCACAAGATTGCCAGAATATACTTACAAATAACTAAATTGTACATTTTAATTATATATATATATATATATATATATATATATA